GGCGGTGACAACCAATCACCATTCGGGAGCTTTTTTCAATGCCTATAATTCAAATTAAAAAAAAATCCTAATACTTCACCACCATCATGAAACAATGATGAATATTTGTTCAACATGTTCTAATGACATTGATAATATATATACATTAGGCTCAAAATGTATTTTAGTGACATTACAATATAATATACATTAATTTCAAAACACATCCCGGTATTACCCACCACTATCGTTCCACATTTTTTGGGCCAAACGATCTCGAAACCTTGACATCTCATGAAGGTGCTCTAGGCCGACATTGACCGGTATGATTTGTTGTTCTTGTGCAGTCATGTCAACTTCTTCTAGCTCCACATCTTCATTTTTGAACTCGATAAATAATGGATCTCCAGAATCATCCATTCAAATCACGTTGTGAATAACGCAACATGCTAACACTTTATATTTTTGTTTTCTCAAACTATATGAAGGCATATCTCTTAAAATTGGAAATCTTTTTTTAATACCCCAAAGCATCATTCTATAACATTCCTTAATGACGAATGCAAGTAATTGAATAGTTCTCTAGTACCTTGCGGTGGAAGATTGTTCTATAACATTCCTTAATGACGAATGCAAGTAATTGAATAGTTCTCTAGTACCTTGCGGTGGAAGATTCTGCCCTCGATAATCATTCAAATGATATCGAATTGAATAGTTCTCTAGTACCTTGCGGTGGAAGATTCTGCCCTCGATAATCATTCAAATGATATCGCTCTACACGATACGGTGAAAGAAAACTCGGCATATTGGTATATCCAGAGTCAACCAAATAATACTTTCTTGCAGGGGGCATAGGGAATTTGTTTGCGGGATTGCTAATGCACTCTAAGAAAATTCTTGAATCATTTGCACTTCCTTCCCATCCACTCACAAATGTGAACCGCATATCAAAAGAACAAGCACACATCATATTCATTGTCAGCACAATTTTTTTTCCACAATATGGAACTTGACTATCTTGCGGCACACAAGCTGAAACATGAGTTCCATCTATAGCCCCTACACAATTGATCACATATTTGGTTAGAGAGCAAATTGCATAAAGGACCCTCTTAAAATATGTAGAGATGGTCTCTAGTAAGTGCTGAAAACGATCCGCAGTCGTACGTTGGCGTTCATTATGAGAAAACACAAATAAAAAGATTGCTACTTGTTCTTGAATCGTCACGTTTCTAGAATGTTTTAAAATTTCCAATTCTCTTTAACTCTTCACAAAGGTTAATAAATGCTTCTTTTTTCATTCGGAACAGGTCAAAACAAGTACCCGAGTGACCACCTAGAACCTCAATCACCCAATCATGCCCACTTAATTTTGAAATCCTTTGTGGTCAAGGCTGCTCCATAAAAGATCTATTAAACTTCATAAATGCATGAATGGTCAATAACACTTGAAATTGCTCCTCATCTAAATCAGAGTCTGAATCAGATTGTGATGATAGTTGATAATCATATGTATCTGTATTGCCGTCCATACCTACCAAAAACATATAAATTTATAATTGAACACTATTGCAAACATAGTCTTGCATAAAATTTACATAAGGCATAAAACACATGTCAACAACATAAACAAGTATAATACCAACAACGTTATGAAAATACAAATATATAGGTTCAAAAACTAACACAAATACACGCAAAAGTCTTCAATCTACTAGAACACAAACATAATTGAAACACACACAAAAGTCATCGACCTACTAGAATCAGTACAAATAGAAACACACAAAGTCCTTGGCCTAATAGGAACAAACACAAACATAAACAAATACAAATTTCTTCGAAACAAACACAAACAACATCAAGGTAGATTTAACACCCAATCCTTCTTTCTCTCGCTAGGCATGGCTAAAACATGGTTCTCCATGCTGCATCATCATGCAAAATATGCGCGGCCTTGGAAAACTGAGTTGAGTCAACATCGGGAAGAGCACTTAGTGCATTAATGCAGTGAACCAAGCCTTGGTCTTTCTCAGTGCTTCTTCCTCTCCCTCCACTAACATGACTATTTGCAGTAGTCGAACTCGCTTTCTTCTCCCTCCACTCCATTTTCTTCCTAGAGTTTTCTCCCATCGAGGTTAAAGCTTCAACCATTGCTAATTGGGTTTGTTGGTTCAACGGTACACGTTTGTTTGTCACTTTTGCTTTTTCATTAGCTCGAGATGACTCAACATCTTCCTCATCTTCATCTTCTTCTTCCTTATCATCTTCACTAATGGTAATTAGCTCGAGATGACTCAACATCTTCCTCATCTTCATCTTCTTCTTCCTTATCATCTTCACTAATGGTAGGACTTTTAGTAGAGTTCATCTTCTTCTTCCTTATCATCTTCACTAATGGTAGGACTTTTAGTAGAGGGATGAGCATGATCACCATTAGCAGTCCATTAGCAGTTGTATCACCAAAAATGATGCACAACTTGTCATAACCTTTGCAACCCTCCCTTCTAAAATATCTTGTGTACTTGTGCGTCTACGTAAAAAAAAAGAATTCAAACTCACATAAGGTATCTAATAAAAATTGCATTAATCAATGAGTATTACCGCATACAACTTAGTCCACACATCTAAAATTTCTCCATCTTTGTCTCAATTGGTTGAACTTATTTTTCATTTGGTCATGAGTGTATTCTCTCCTCCGTCTTCTTTTTTAACTCATGCTCCATGAATTTTTAAGAGGATCTAGTAAATGTAGTTGTATGCCTATTTCCCTTTTTTACTTCTTCCTCCATCAAGTCTATGAAATAAAGCTCCACATTTTCAGACCAAAAAACATATCCTTGTGACGGGGAAATCTCCACCACTTCGTTGACATCACGACTTTCACTTGACATCTATTTCATTCACAACAACATGAAATAAGAGTATAATTAGATGATGTTTTGGATCAAATAAAGCACAAGCCATACAAATAGAGCATAAGCAATTTTTTTTATTTGATCGAATGCATGTATATATGCTCTGAACCCTCTAACGACATTCACATGATTACTTTTCTTTATTTAGGTGAATTTGATGATGTTTTGGATGATAGACATTCTCTTTACATCTCTAAGCCTGATGTTTCCTCCAAGATTAACATATTGTTTAAGGATGTAATGTATGCTTCCATGGGTTCAAATGGATCTATACCACAGTGGGTTTGGAAAATTGCTAGAGGTTGAGAAACTGACATTACAAACTCCAAGGAGCAGCAACATCCTTATTACAGACTTTTCGTTGGAGATATATAATGGTGATCACCTTCTGGTAAGCGATTTTCTTGCATTTACATAATTGCCTCGTGCTAATTTCTGGATTCAGAAAGCAGCACTTCAGTAGGATTTTTCTTGGTAACCAGGTGATGGGCCCTAGTTCTTGGTAACCAGGTGATGGGCCCTAGTGGGAGTGGTAAAACATCACTCTTCAGAGCTCTAGCTGGTCTGTGGAATACCGGTGAAGGTAAATATTACATTCTACATAACAAATGAAATAAAAAAGTCAACTCTCCACCTCTTCAAATATTGATTCTTCTGGAGCACAGTCTGCACAGAATATTTTGGTGGTAGACAAGCTTTCATACATATAGAAACAAGAGAGCCAAGGATGTCTTTTTTCCTTCCTCCAAGACCTTACATGGTTTTAGGAACACTACACCTTTAATCCAACATGGAGTAATGAACCACTCCAACAAATATAAAGCTTTATCTCAACATTTTTGCTCTATATTATTATAAGTTACCAAGCAACAAACTAATTCTGTTATGTAAAAATAAAGGATAATACTTCCTATATGTTTGCAGGTTATAGAACATGGTATCAACACAACAATCATGAATGATGCTCTGGAAGCAGCTTCAATTTTCTTTGATTTATCAGCAGAGGAGAAAGAAAAATTTGCATCAGACGACAGATCAAAGCTGCTTAGATATAGAGCAAACCCAAAGGATGACATCAGTAGGGCTAGAGATATACTGAAGTTCTATGCTCAACCTCTAAGTGAATGGATTCATATCGGTAACAAAGAAAAATTGGGCAAGACAGAGGCTTGTTGCAGATTCAAAAATCGTGTTGGTTTCATACAAGAAGTTTATGAAATCTCAATCTCAAGAAAAATTGGAGATCAATATACCTTGTTTGAAATTTGAGGAGGAGTCGGAGGTGGCGGAAGCGACCGGAGCAGCGATGAGGAGGCGGCAACGGCGACTACGCGGAGGCCTT